CAGGGAATGCTCCAGTTATTTCTCAGTTAAATAATCATCTCTTTTCATCTGATCTCATTCCTACAGCAGTACATGTTACTGTTGAAATTCCTTCAGTACTCACTTCTTATGATAGAGCTAATAAAATATTCTCTTCAGTACTAGCAACACTTAAGTGTCATCCTAATCCTAACAGTGTGTTCTCTTCTCTCATTACTTCACTACAGAAAGTAGGACTAAGGAACATGGCATCTAAACTAATGGAAAACTTAAGTAAGATTGAATAATATTTATATCCCATTTATTATTATTTTTTAAATAATAGAAATGAAAGGTGGTCATGTTGATCCTAATCTAGAGCAGCAACCATCAGTCAGTAAGGAACCACTTCAACCAGTGGATGTCACTGCACAATCTCACACACCACAACCAACAATCACTGGATCACAATCATCTACTCCTACTACTGTTATTGAGCTCAGTTCAAAGAGTGAAGTTGCTGCCAATATTAAAAGTCTTCATTCTCGTTTTGCATCTCTTGATTCTAATATAAGAGATGAGTTTGAGGAGCTGGTGAAAAGGGGTCAATTGAATCTTAAAGCTGTAGCTAGGAGTGCAGCCACTTATTTAAGCATTAAAGTATCCAGTTTGAAACATGATGACGTTGATGAATTATTTGATTCCCTTCAGCCTCATTATGATTTCTTCAGCTGTGGTGGTGTACTTCAACACTTAGCAAACAAATATCTTTCAACTGCACAAATTGAACTAACTCAATACATTGATAGTGTTGATAAATTCTCAGAATCATCACAATTGAAGCACATACGATCAACAATCAAAGAGAAATTGTCATCATTACCAGCAGCAGCCTCACCAACCACTAGTGATCAAACAAAACCAGTTGTTATTAAACTGAATGACAGATGGGAAGAAATGACAATAAGTAAACTCAAGGCAGTTCTCAAGCATTACTTTGGAGTAACATCAGATCTCTTTAGTCACATTAGCTTTGATTATGGTTCATTTGTCATTACACTGTTAATACCAACCTCACTATCACAGTCTCTTATTGATGCTATCAATAACAAAACAAACTCAATGAGTAGATTAGGAATATTGGAAGTTGCTGTTGACAATAAAGTGATTCCTATCAGAAGAAAGGATGATAACAATTTTGACGTTTCACTCCATGAATCAGTTAAAGCTTGTGAATTTTTTGAAGTATCAATGCTACTGCAGTTAGGAGCTGATCCTAACAGTAAAGATGAGAGAGGAAAGAGTGCAGTAGAGATAGCTAAAGAAAGAAAATTCACTCAATTAAAAGAAATACTATTACCTGGTGGAGGTGAGTTATTTTTTTTGGATAATAAATAATAGCATAGCTAATTTTAATATAATAAATAAGTGATAATGAATAAAGAGGTGGTTATAGGCGGTTATCTGTTTTAAATTTAAGATATGAGAGGGAAAGAGTGAGTTTCAGAGAGGAGGGTAAATGATTGCATTGGTTGATTGCAGAGGGATAGAATGAATTTTTGGTAAGTAGAAGAATTATAAGTGATTGGAGATAAATTACCTTAGTGAAATAGAAGCCTTCCTTGACTTTAAATAAAAGAATCATTTTAAATTTAAACCAGCGATGTGATAGGGAATGAATGTTAGACAATAAAAGTAGTTGTTTATATGGGACTGTCCAGGATTTAAGAGCCAGTTTTAGGCCAAAATGCCAAACGGCCTCAAGCCTTGATGACATTGAAGGAGAGAGGGTATCTCAAATCGGGGAGGCATACTTGAGAATAGGACGAACAAGAGTAACATAAAGGTGGATAAGGGTCTCAGAAGATGAATTTTTGTAAAAGTTGCGATAAATGAGATCTAGGAACTTTCGTGCCTTCTTGATTATAGGACAAGTTACTGGTGGTATGAATATTAAACCAGGATGTTAGGATGTCGTCTGCAAAAAGAAACATTTTGGAGTGAGAAGAGATATTCAGACCATTCAAGTCATTAGTGTAAAATAGGAAAAGAAGAGGTCCAAGTATTGAACCCTGCAGAACTCCAGAGATTACATGTACTGGGGAGGAGAGGGAGTCACCAACACAAACACTCTGCTGCCTATTACTGAGGTAAGAGAAAAACGAATAGTGAAGTGGATGTGGGAGGTTGAGTGCCAAAAGTTTGTCTAGCAATATCTGATGGTTGACAGAATCAAAATGATAAAATAAATTGAGTTACAGTGGCAAGTGCAGTAGTTGTAGAACACTCAGGAAGGAAACCAAATTGCGAGTCTGAAATTAATCCTTTTGAGAGTAGGTGGTTGAGGAGAATCTGATGCACAAGCTTCTTGAGAAGCTTTAAAACCAGAGAGAGGAGAGAGAGATAGGGGACGATAATTAGATGGTGATGATGAAGGAGGACTGGTCTTGGGAATGGGTACCATAATACATTACCCATGTATTATGGGTAATGAGAGATTGAAGGTTGTAGGTAGGTCATGTAGGTCGCTGTTGCTTTTGCAGAAAGGAGGATATGTCGTCAGGGCCACTAGAGGTGTTTAAGGGCAGCTCTGAAATTAGACGTAAAATTGATACTAATATTAATACACACATAATATACCATAATACAGTAAACCCTCTATTAACAAACACTCTCTATAGTGCACACCTCCTAATGGACAGCTATGGAGACTAGTTGACTCTAGGAGCTATTGTACTGCTTATCAGAACAAACAAAACCCATTTAAGAGTGAAATACAGGCCAACCATGCAGCTGTAAAATATCAGCCATGCTTCTATGAATATTATTATAAGACATCATTAGTGATGTATGGCTACATATTTCAAATTTCAAGCGGCTGTTGTCAAACTCAGTTGGGATATAGTATAATTACCAGATACATGTATATGGTATATGCTTACATTAGCTTGTGCTTTGAAGTTGACTAGCTGGCATAATGGACCAAGGACTATAGAAAGAGGGAGAGAGAGAGAAATTGAGAAAGAAAATGAGAATGAGAGAGAGAAAGATTGAGAATGAGAATGATAAAAAGAGAGCAGTCTAATGTCAAGTCATAGTGCAATAGAATAGCAAAATTAGTGTACAATAAAATCTGATGACATTACATGTACGTGTATGTGGCACAATACAAGCGATAACATGCAATTCAAACATCATGAATTCATGACTCATTAACACAACAATACTCCTACAGCTATATCAGTGTGACAGTGACACTGCAATCACTTCATTATAATAGAGGAGTATATCTCACTAAAAGAGAGAGCTAG